AAGTTTTTTCGGGTCATAAGTAATGGATAAAAAATAAAATCTGCTTTCTAATTAAATGGTAATTCTGTGTATATCCCTTAACCTTTTATTACCTGAGATACCTATACCTCATGCAACACTTGGAGTTTTATTTTACATCTACAGAGTACTACTTCTTCCATATATATCGGTAAAAGCAGTTTAAATTTTTAATATATTCAAAGTGTGTGTTAAAAGAAAGTATAAGTGTGTAGTATTATTTAATTCTACTTATGTTTTATTAAATGTTTAATCACTAACATCATTTAGTGACTTAGTTTGATTATTGACAGTTAGTAGAAAAAATAATCGAGCACCTTTGTATAGTTTATTAGTTACTAAACAATTAAATAAATACAGATAACCACCACCTTTTGTATGTACAGACGCTAGCGTAGTAGTGTCAACTGGGATTTCATGTCCAGCATCGGGATCGTTTTTTTCAGGAACCGATTTGTTAACAAAAAATCTGCGACTAGGGTCGAATCTGGGTCATAAGGGAGAAGGTGGATTGTAAATATACCTCCCTTGAAACCTCACGGTTATAGGTTTAATCCATCATTTCAACGATACTTGGTAGAAGACCCAATCTTCGAAGAAGGATGGTACAAAAGCACTATATTTGGTAAAAGTTACTGATACACAAAGCTGTGAAAGAACCTGTTCATACATCTGTAGTGATTGAGGACAAGATGCTCCATTTCCCTATCAAAATAAAACAAACAGTTACTTTCATAGACAGATGTCAATTTTCAATTGAAATATTATGAAAAAGTGAAAATTAAATTATTTTTAAAAATTATGCAAGATAATTTTACATACATGTGTCATATATTTTCCTGTCGGTTTTAAAACTTTCATTGAAGAGTTTAATATTAGTCTAATGAAATCCCATGCATCACCATGAGGAGTGGGACTAATTGGTATGTCCGTAAGGTCACCGAAGACGTAATCAAACTGTCGGCCTTCCTCAATCATTTGTACCAAAGCTTGCACACAATCGCCAACAATAATCTACAAATATTCAATATTGTATAAAAGGATTTGGTAATTCACTTGCAATTATGAAGATAAACTGTGTTTGTAAAACTTACTTCATAATTTTCTCCCTTTCTTTTATCCAAACAATCTCCACATATGCTTCTCATATGCTGACTGCAAGCTTTTATTACAACATCATCAATCTAATAATAAAATTATTATTTTTTTACTACAAAAATTCATTAATATATACATAAATATATATATATATATAATTTAACTTTTGTAAAATTAAAGTTATATACTTCTAGCATAGTAACAAATTTTGGCTTCTCCTTTAATAACTCCCAAAGTAAGCCACCATCTCCTCCTCCTAAAATAACTATTTCTTTGCCAGCATAACTCTCTTTCCCACGTTGCATCAAAGTCTCTGTATATATCAGATCTGCTTCAGATATATCTGAAAATTATAAGATTTAATTTTGGCAACTTTCTAATTTCAAATACAGTTGAAATTTTGTCAAGAGCATAAAAAGCTAAAAATAATACAAAAATATTCTCTTACTTTGTAATTCATCAAGAATTAACAAATTTCCCAGTGATTTTGAGTGGATAATTTGCACTTTTTGATATGGAGAACGTGCTTCAAAGACCAACTTATCTATGTCATATTCAAGTAGTCTGTCATCTTAAAAAAAGAAATACTTCTATTAAAATCTTGAAACTTTATTAAATTTAAATAATCGCATAAGAAAGCATTTAATAGATGCATGCGATGCCAAGCAGAAATCTGTAGAAAGAAAAATCAATTCTTATGTTCAAAGTAAAATCAACAAGAATGAAAATATTGAAGAGATTTAGGAATTTCATATATGGATTACTAAATCTATCATGTTATTTGCATCTATTAATTTTATACATTTTTGGTGTAGCATATAAATTGGAGAAATAAAGAACATCATTCATTATATATACTTATGAAAATACTAAGTCCCACAGAATTATAGCTCTTACAATCATTCTAGATTTTAAGATTTATTTATATAATTTTTTTTATATTTGCCGCTGTGTTCAATACATTATTACATTAGATATGTACTGCAACAAAAAATCTGATAAAACGAATAAGGTAAAGACGTTTAAGTGGTTTTTTTTATTAAAAACTTAAATGAAACTGATGCATGTAAAAATGGAAGTAAATGTATTAACAAATGAGAAAAAAAAAATGAGGCGAATTATACACCGCTTTGAAAATCATAAGGTAATAAACATCGACATTTCTTTCGCGTGGTGAATAATGAAAAGAATGTTGAATACGAAAATGTAAATTATATGTAACCGAAAAAAAATGAATCGAAAGCATTTTTCGTTAACGACGCATGATGGGATTAAATATTATGCGGACACAGTGTTCCGCTTATACCGTAAACAGAATAATAAATAAAAAACTCACCGGCGGTAGGAAAGTATCTCTCAAAAGGTCCGCCGCGTATAATTGGTGAAAGTGAGTGCGAACGCGTAGAGGCTGCTGCCGCCTGCAACGCCGTTTCCAATTCTCTGGCCAACTAAAGGTGGCCGCGACAAGCGAACCGACGAATAAAAAAAAACAGAAACTATCTTGTTAAACCAATCGTAACAACTCTCCTTTACGTATGAATCACGAGTCATTTTTAAATCCCTTTGCGGAAAAACTAAACAGAATTACCGGGGGAAAAAGAACAGGTCGACCGAAAATAAAGTAATCAATCGGAGTTGTTGGCATTTTTGAGTGCAACGGAAACGATTCGCACGTTTGTAAGACGCTATAAATAACTAAGAATAGGAACTAATTGGGGAAGTGATTTCTACCTGATAGTGTCAGATAGAGGTCATATATGGTTCCTCGCCTTACTGGTGGCAGGCGCTTGCTGCGTTGGCTGTTCAGAGCCACCGCAACTTCCGCTTCCAGGTATTGCCACTGCTACAAGGTCCTCTTTGTTACGCGTGTTTCTTCCGCATATAGTAAAATTTTTACTTATTTCTATAATAGTATTCATCAGACGATGATCTTTTAAAATATATCTATTTCGCATCTTTGGCGTTCAACGGCAAAAATCGGTAAACGAAAATCGCGGATTGTTTTAACAAATGCATTTTTACGCTTTCATAATTTTTACGTTTTTTTAAAACGTATATAGTACAGTTATTCTTATGATTTATTATTAGTTCATATGTAACAAGATGTACCTTGCAATGACCCCATGTTTGAGAGATACAAAAGCTGATTTTGTATTTGATATCCATGAGAGGCAACTAAATATTATGAAATTTGCAACTAGATATTGCAAAATAATTTTTAAAATTAATACAGGGGACTGTACCTCATAATCCAAGAGTGCTTCCTCTTCATCTCTCTTATAATATTCAACGTTAACAGTGACTAAGCCTTCAGTATATCCCCGAACTGTAATTAGACTACCTTTGGGACCAGTGTAGAGGACTAAAAAGCTTCCATCAATATTGGATTCAGTTAATGGCTTCAAACCATCAAAATGTTCCTGTAGTACATTAGCAATTGCTAATTTTAGATTGGAACGTTTCTCCACATCTGCTATTACAGTTGATGCAACTGTGAAGTCAAGAAGCACAGTGTGGGCAGCCATTGTATATAAACCTAAAATAATTTTTATTACTTATTACTTATTAT